TGAATAACAGACATAGGAATAAAGGTTTGATCATGGAAAGGCTTGATAAGGCTCTAGGAAATGATTCATGGTGTGACCTATTCCCAAATCACTCCATTTCCCATTTACCAAAGACTCACTCTGATCACTCCCCTATCCTAGTTGAGTTGGTCTCAAAAAAACGTGGTCACCATAACCAACATTTTAGGCTGGAAACTTTCTGGTGCAAACATCCAGATTTTGTCAATGTAGTAAAAAAAACTGGACTAATTCAGACTATCTTGCGGCTAGTAATTCCTTTATCCAAAATGTTAAAATCAGGAAACACAAAACATTTGGTGATATAATGGGAAAAAAAAAAAGAAAAATACTTGCAAGACTTCAAGGTATACAAAATTCTAAAAATTACACAAGTAACATCTTCCTCCAAAACCTAGAACAAAATTTTAAAAGGATTATAATGACATTCTTAGGATTGAGGAGGATTATTGGAAACTTAGATCCAGAGTTATGTGGCTTAATGACAGGGATGCGAATACAAAAAAATTTCACATCTCTGCCACAAATAGACGTAAAAGAAATAAAATTATCTTTTTTAAGGATGAATCGGGTAACTGGATAAATGACCATGCCTCTTTATCCTCACATGTCCTTAACTACTTTACAAATATTTTCACCACCTCTCAAGTTAGCACCAATTGGAAAGAACCTAATAATATTCCCCTTGGTAATATACAACTTGATCTTACTTCACTGGATGCTCCATTACTTGATACTGAGATAAAAAAGGCTATCTTTTCTTTTAAGCCATTTAAAGCGCCGGGGCCGGATGGTCTCCATCCCTTTTTGTACCAAAAATATTGGAAATTTATGGGTCACACAGTGACAAAAATCTGTCATGATATCTTCAATACTCAAAAATTACCTAGTGATATTAACAAAGCCTTCCTTTATTTAATTCCCAAAATTCCAAACGCTAATAACATTAAAAAATTTCGCCCGATCGGACTTTGTAATACGATCTATAAAGTCATTACTAAGATTTTGGCAAATCGTATCAAACCTTTCCTTGAAAAAATCATTAGCCCCTTTCAAGCTAGTTTTATGCAAAATAGGAGAGCATCGAATAATGCCCTAATCATCGAACTAGTCTCCAACCTTACAAAATTACAAGGGAAGGAAGGTCACATGTTGATTAAGATAGACTTAGAGAAAGCTTTTGATCGGATTGAATGGTCTTTTATCTATCGTGCCCTTAGATTCTTTAACTTCCCCCCAAAATTCACTAGACTTCTTATGAATTGCATCACACCCAGCTCTATAGCAGTGTTAGTCAATGGCTCCACTACATCCTTTTTTTGAACCAATTAGGGGTATACGTCAAGGAGATCCTTTATCTCCCTACATCTTCATTCTTAGCCTTGAACTGTTAACTAGATACATTGAGTATCAGGTTGACATCCATAACTGGGATACTATCACAATTGGTAGGAAAAGCCCTAGTTTCTCCCATTTATTTTTTGCGGATGATTTAACTTTTATGGCTAAAGCTAACACAAAATCCTTCCTAGCTATTAAATTAACTATTGAGTTGTTTTTCTCCCTTTCGGGGCAAAGTGTAAATCACTCGAAGTCCAAAGTTCTTTTCTCCAAAAATTGTACGCCTGACATTACCAAAGGAATCACTAATATGTTGGGCATAAAAAAGAGTGACCACTTTGGCATCTACCTAGGCTTTCCTATACTTAATAGAAACCCCAAACCAAATGACTACCTTTTCATAATTGAAAAAATGAGGTCCAGACTTGCATCCTGGAAAATGAGATTTATGAACATAGCAGGTCGCACTACACTGGCCAAGGCTTGTCTCAACTCTATTCTGAATTACTACATGCAATATACACTTCTACCAAAAAAACCTCAAAAGTATATTGATAAAATTCAGAGGGATTTTATATGGGGCACTAATGATGACAAAAAAAGGATTCATCTAATCAAATGGTCACAGGTTTGCATGCCCCAAGAAGTAGGGGGCTGGGCATACGTAGTGCCAAAAACAAAAACCCTGTTAACTTAGCTAGTCTTGCTTGGAGACTTATCAAGCATCCAACTACTCCGTGGGCCAAGCTAATCATCGCTAGATATAGTGGGCGGGGTATTTCACAACTTACCTCCTTCACCTGGAAAGCCATATTGAAAGGTTGGGAAATTTGTCGTAAAGGGATCAGATGGTCTCCCCATCTAAATTCAAGTGTAAATGTTTGGATCAATAATTGGATCCCTAATTGTGACAATCTCAGGGGTAGAATTAAGGGCCCACTTAGGCCGGAAACTTTCAACATTAAGATTAAAGACCTCTTGTGTAATAACAAATGGGACATAGCAAAGCTTACTCTAGATATCCCAAAAGAAATTGAACACAATATTCATAATACAAAAATTCGTATGAAAGGTCCATCGGCTGATATTGCCATTTGGTACCTTAATCAAAAGGGTATCTTCACTAGCCAAAGCTGTTATAAACTTATAGAGAATTATGAGGAAAGAGACCACACAAATTATGATTGGGTGTGGTCTCTACATTGTCCAAACAAAATTAAATTTCTATTATGGCAATGTATGCATAACAAACTCCCGTGTAGAAGTTACCTTTCCCATATTGTCATTAACATTGAGAAAATTTGCCCTATATGCAATAAAGGGGAAGTAGAAACCATAGAACACATCTTCCTTACATGCTCCATTAGTCAAGCTCTTGGGAAAGAAATAGGAGGACCTCTTCTTCACGACCCCTCTAAAGGGCATTGGCTAACCCAACTAAAAACATAAAAGATTGTCTTAAACCATAGTCTAGTCAATTAGAATAGTCTACTCCATTTTGCTAATTGGGACATATGGACTACTAGAAATTCCAACAATCAAAATAATGTTAAGAATAGGATCAACCTCCACAATACCTTGCAAAGAGCTATTGAGTACAAATTAATGACTGCACTTAATCCCCTACCCACGGAAAAAATCCAACTTAGCTATAAATGGCACCCCCTCTAAAGGTTGTTATAAGCTTAATGTGGATGCTAGTCACAACAACTTCAAAAGTTGCATAGGAGAAGTTTTCTGAAATAGCACTGTTTAGTGGATTGTAGGTTATACCAAAAGCATTAGAGCAATGGGGTCCCTAAATGCTGAAATAAAAGCTATTAAAGAAGGGTTAAATGGCCATGGAATGGAACCTTCTACCACCACACATTGAATCAGATTGCGTAGAAGCCATTAAGGCCATTCTTTTTGGACAAAATTTTATTGACAAAAATGTTTCCACATGTAGGTTGTTAATGCACCAAGGGAAGGAGATGACCCTCCATCATACGTGTAGGGAGTGCAACAAAGTAGCCCACGAATTATCCAGGATGGAAGGAAGTGATGAAGTGAAGAATAAAGTTTTTGTAAAAGCTCCTTTTGTAGTATCTAACTTTGTTACTTATGATCTGGACAAGGATCGCTCTTATATTAAGTACTTACCTAAGGATGCTTGCAATATGTTAGCAAGCCTAGGAAATCAAAGTGTCCGAAGTGACACTATTTTTAGCAATGTTGTAACAAACGGTATTTAGCTTCCTTAATATATGCTTTCCTATTTGCTCAAAAAAAAGTCTAGGATGTATAAGGGAATAAATCTAAAAAAGATAATGACATTTTGAAATTAAAAAGTGAGATATAAGAGAAAAAGCAGAGATAAGAAATTATAATTCTTATTATGTTGAATAAATGTTGTAGAAACAAAACATGTTATAATCCGTAATAATTTTGGGGCACTAATGACTTTCTGAAAATTGGAGAAATAATTATGTTTTAGAGCCAATAAGAAAGTTGGAAATTTCTCCAAAATATACGGGTTAAGTGAGGGAAAATTATTTACCAACACTTGGCATTCACATCAAATAACTTTAACTTATCATAGTTAAGTGTCTAATTTAATGAGGTGAAAATATATTTGATTAAATGATTAAAGTTTATCTCCTGACAAATGTCACGCATCTATATATGATTTGGTACATACAAGGGCGCGAATAAACTTTTTTTAAAGTGAAATGTATATGAACTTGCAATGAAAGAGGAACTTAACTTGTTTGTCTTTGTTGCTTTCTGCAAATTTCACCTTAACAGCCCATTTGAGATTGATTTAGTTAGTTATAACAATTAGTTAAATGCTTGTGTAATTTGAAGAAAATATTTGGACGTGCTCGCTGAAAACATTATACTCCTATATAATAGAAATACTTTCTGAAAAGTTGGTCTTGTTCAAAAACGTATAAGAGAGTTGGTCTTCTCATAAATAGTCACTAGCTTTCTGATTTTTTTTCACTTTCTATATCACGTAAATAGGTACTCAAATTTGATATTTACACCAAACAAATGAAAATAGGATATGTGTTTTTCATACGTATATTTATCTATCGTACTTAATGATACATACATATACATATAACCTTACTTTTTGATTACTAAAAATTTAATTATATTTAATTTGGGTAAATATCAGATGCCACAAAACATTTACCTAGCCACTGTTTTTGACTACTAAAAATTTAATTATGTTTAGCTTGGGTAAATATCAGATGTCACTAAACATTTTACCTAGCCATTCCTCCGAAAAGAAATTGAGAAGGAAATTAGAGTTAGTGGAGCCATAATAATGTTTAATGTGACCATAACTCGGTGAAAACCACGGCAAGAATAAGAAACAGCTGTTAAGGCTAACCAACAGCTGCATATCTTTAAGCCATTTGCTATTACCCCAACATCGCATCTTCCTCTGATCCCGACCCTACGGGCGTAAAAAGTGTAAATCGTTAGAATTGTTTTATTTATTTTATGATGTCACTATTTTTTAAAATCAAAATTAAATTGGGGTGTCGATTTTTTTGGGTCCTGCTTATGTATAGTATGGCGCTATGGAGGCACTGAGAGAGTCCGAAACGTTTCTATATAAGGCCACCCCACGCATTCACAAACTTCGTTCCCAAACAGAACAAGAAAATCAAATCTCGGAGAGAGAGAGAGAGAAATATTTTGAGAGAGAAATACAGAAAATCTCTCTTCCTTCTTTCCTTTTTTTTTCAATCCCCATTCATATTCTTTTTTTAGAATAATCTATGGCGGCATCTGTCGAAAACAGGCAGTTCAGTCACCTAGAAGCCGGTTTATCCCGGTCTTTCAAGCCCCGGTCTGATTCCCCGGTTCGTGGCTGCAACTTCCCTTCGCCCAACAGTACTAATTTCCAAAAGAAACCAAATTCCACCATTTACCTTGATTACTCGTCGAGTGAAGACGACGATGATGATGACGAAAAAAATGAGTACCTTCAAATGATTAAAAAAGGGAATTCAGAGTTAGAGCCATCTGTTCATGACACTAGGGACGAAGGTACCGCTGATAATTGGATTGAACGCAACTTTTCCATGATTCGTCTCACCGGAAAGCATCCATTTAACTCCGAACCACCGTTGAACCGGCTCATGCACCACGGCTTTATCACACCGGTCCCACTTCATTACGTTCGTAACCATGGACCGGTTCCCAAGGGCACGTGGGATGACTGGACCGTGGAAGTCACGGGACTAGTGAAGCGTCCTATGAAATTCACAATGGACCAGTTGGTTAACGAATTCCCTTGTAGAGAATTGCCCGTTACGCTTGTTTGTGCTGGCAATCGAAGGAAAGAACAGAACATGGTTAAACAAACCATTGGTTTCAACTGGGGCGCCGCTGCCGTTTCAACAACGATATGGCGCGGGGTACCCCTCCGCGCTTTGCTAAAACGGTGCGGTGTTTTTAGCAAGAATAAAGGGGCGCTTAATGTTTGCTTCGAAGGAGCTGATGTGTTGCCCGGAGGTGGTGGTTCAAAGTATGGAACCAGCATTAAGAAGGAATTTGCAATGGATCCAGCACGAGATATCATCGTAGCCTACATGCAGAACGGAGAAAAATTGGCACCCGACCACGGGTTTCCAGTACGAATGATAATTCCAGGATTCATTGGAGGAAGAATGGTGAAATGGATAAAGAGGATTATAGTCACCACCCAAGAATCAGACAGCTATTATCATTTCAAGGACAATAGAGTTCTTCCTCCCCATGTTGATGCTGAACTTGCAAATACCGAAGGTACGTACCGTAACTATTTCAATTTATTACTCCATTTGTTCCAATTTATGTGAACCTATTTCCTTTTTGGTCCGTTCAAAAAAGAATGAACCCTTTCTAAATTTGGTAACAATTTAGCTTAAACTTACAACTTCACCCTTAATGAGAAACTTTTATAACCACACAAATACCCTGGGGCCCATTTGGACTTGTTTAGGTCGACAAATTCCAAAAGTTTTATTTTTTTCTTAAACTTCGTGCTCAGTCAAACAGGTTCACGTAAATTGAAACGGAGAGAGTATCATTTTTATTAAGGGGTATAAATATATTTTAATTAGTTGAGACTTGCACATACAAGTAAAATATTTCTTAGAATACAAAATCAACTGAAAGCTTACTTCTAATTATATGGTTTTGAATTTTCCTTTCAATGAAGTAAATAAAAAGGAAACAATTATATTCAACGCATGTAGGTATATGGTCCTGTCATTATCTCAAATCAAATGGTTTAAAGACAAAGGACTTTGGAAACATAGAATTGTCAGCTTTATAGTTATGGAGTACTATATTAGTTAGCTGTTTGCATCTATTCATAATTGGTCTATCTGTGTGCAGCATGGTGGTACAAGCCAGAGTATATCATCAATGAGCTTAATATTAACTCTGTCATTACGACGCCGTGTCATGAAGAAATTTTGCCAATTAACGCCTGGACGACTCAGCGACCTTACACGTTGAGGGGCTATTCTTATTCTGGTTAGTATTTTTATTTTTTCCGATTTTGCTGAGAATATCATATTTCTTAGTTTTGTCGATACATCGTATCCTCTAACTCTGACGTTTTACTTCGTCCTTATGCACCCACTTACGTCCTTACTTTCTCAGACAGTTTATTGATGAAAACTACTTACTATTTTCGACCCGATAGCCTCAGCGTCCTTAATTAAATGTGATGTTTTGAAAGAGATATTCTCTCCCGTCTATTTTAATTAATTTTTGGCTGTTTTTATACGTGGGAATCTATTTTTAACATTAATTAATATAGAAATGAACCATATTAATATTATTAATTTGTTCATTGAAAATACAACAAATACTCTTCGGCTCTTACTACAATGACAATTTTGAAGAAAAAAAATTAATTCCTTCCTAATATCTGAAAAATCAAATATTGTGGACCATAAAAAAAGGTCAAAAAATTAATTAAAATGAACTGGAGAGAGTAAATTAGAAAATATAATTATAGCACTAGTAATTAAAGTTATTAGATGTCTTCTTTAAAAAGCGTGTGAAAACTTTAAAGACGAAATATAATATGAATATTATCTAATACTTAGAAAGTGTCAATAATTGGTAGACAATTTAAACTATATACTAGTTAAAAAGTCTGTCAATACAACTATTAGTATTGGGGATTAGAGAGAATAGTAGTAAAATGGAGTAATTGGACGCATGAGCTTGGGATGCTGATTGCTGTCAGCTTGTTTGCTAATGTGAAAAAGAAAATAGTAAGAAAAGGCCAACATGGTTTTGTTTATTTTATTATGTGGTAGTACACAAAAACCTGGGGAGCTTTCCTAGTTCTGAAGAGTCGGTCTTTGGTAGCACAAAATTAATAGTATAGTATACCAAGTGAATATTAAATTCAATTGTCTAAAGCACGGAATCTTTTTGACTACTTTAGTTCCTGCATCTTGGGTTGCCTCAACAACACCCTTTATTGAATTATTATAGTAATGTTCAATATAATATACAATTAGAAAACTCTCAAGTGGTCACTTTATATGGATCTAGTCAATACTATTTCTTCTAAACAACGTGCCTAATTACTTCCCACTTTCCAGTACATGACCACCATTAAGTTTAATTTTTGTCAATTCCTTGTGCAATTGGCCCTTCAAATGAGCAGAAGTGTTACGTAGGAAAACTAACTTCAGCTACTATTATAGGAGTAAACCTGTTAGGAAAAGATGCTCGAGGAACTGACAAAACTTGTAGAATAATTAGCCATTGTATTGATTGAAATACTGATTGTGAACGTGTAACAAACAGGCGGAGGGAAAAAAGTAACGCGAGTAGAAGTGACGTTGGATGGAGGAGAAACATGGCAAGTTAGCACACTAGATCACCCAGAGAAGCCCACCAAATATGGCAAGTACTGGTGTTGGTGCTTTTGGTCACTCGAGGTTGAGGTGTTAGACTTGCTCAGTGCTAAAGAAATTGCTGTTCGAGCTTGGGATGAGACCCTCAATACTCAACCCGAGAAGCTTATTTGGAACGTCATGGTACGTTCACTTCTTCTTTTACCTTTATTTCTTTTAACTTCTATATACTAGCGGTGTAAAGTTATTTTACACCATAAGTTAACTTACAAAAATATGTAACTATTTATACTACGAGTGATGAGGGCAAGAAGGGGTTTAAGTATTTGACAATAAATGTAAACCCTGCAATTTTGTTCCTAATTTTTTATCCTTTCAACTCTTTTGTGATTGCTTCATTATCTAGATTCACAGAGCACATGTGTTCACATGCCAAAACAAAAAACTACAAACAAAAAAACTTTTCACTAGCTTTAGTCTAAGATTCCCCTTTTTTTTTTTGGGAGGTGTGTGGTCCATACTCCATAGATCAATTCCAGCCACTGACGTACCAAACCCTGAAAATTCCTAGTAGTTATAGCGACGTACAATCATTTCATATTATGTAAGCAGAGACGTGATCACATGAACTAGATGTGAATACCACTTGCCCAGTCCACCAGGTCAATTCATCTAGATGTGTAAATCTTGACACCAGCACTGGGTCACTTTTATAACACTAGCATTTAACAACATTTCATCCTTGAACATTACTTGGGCTAATTAATAAGTATTTTTTTTTATATACTCTAAAAATTGTAATTACATAAATGAATTTAACTTATACACGCTGACAATGTTACTAATTCCACTTTTTACGGACGGTTATCTATAGAAATCATTTAGGTGAAACAATTCTCTTACACTATGATCAGTGTTAGTACATAATGGTTATTACATTTTCTAAATATTGTGCTATGTTGCAATGTTCAGGGAATGATGAATAATTGCTGGTTCCGAGTAAAGATGAATGTGTGCAAGCCTCACAAGGGAGAGATTGGAATAGTGTTTGAGCATCCGACTCAACCTGGAAACCAATCAGGTGGATGGATGGCGAAGGAGAGACATTTGGAGATATCAGCAGAGGCACCTCAAACACTAAAGAAGAGTATCTCAACTCCATTCATGAACACAGCTTCCAAGATGTACTCCATGTCCGAGGTCAGGAAACACAGCTCTGCTGACTCTGCTTGGATCATAGTCCATGGTCATATCTATGACGCCACGCGTTTCTTGAAAGATCACCCTGGTGGGACTGACAGCATTCTCATCAATGCTGGCACTGATTGCACTGAGGAATTTGATGCAATTCATTCTGATAAGGCTAAGAAGCTCTTGGAGGATTTCAGGATTGGTGAACTCATAACTACTGGTTACACCTCTGACTCTCCTGGCAACTCCGTGCACGGATCTTCTTCCTTCAGCAGCTTTCTAGCACCTATTAAGGAACTTGTTCCAGCGCAGAGGAGTGTGGCCCTAATTCCAAGAGAGAAAATCCCATGCAAACTCATCGACAAGCAATCCATCTCCCATGATGTTAGGAAATTTCGATTTGCATTGCCCTCTGAGGATCAAGTCTTGGGCTTGCCTGTTGGAAAACATATCTTCCTCTGTGCCGTTATTGACGATAAGCTCTGCATGCGCGCTTACACGCCTACTAGCACGATCGATGAGGTGGGGTACTTCGAGTTGGTTGTCAAGATATACTTCAAAGGAATTCACCCTAAATTCCCCAATGGAGGGCAAATGTCACAGTATCTTGATTCTATGCCGTTAGGGTCATTTCTCGACGTGAAAGGTCCATTAGGTCACATTGAATACCAAGGAAAGGGAAATTTCTTAGTTCATGGCAAACAGAAGTTTGCCAAGAAGTTGGCCATGATAGCAGGTGGAACAGGAATAACTCCAGTGTATCAAGTCATGCAGGCAATTCTGAAAGATCCAGAAGATGACACAGAAATGTATGTGGTGTATGCTAACAGAACAGAGGATGATATTTTACTTAAGGAAGAGCTTGATTCATGGGCTGAGAAAATTCCAGAGAGGGTTAAAGTTTGGTATGTGGTTCAGGATTCTATTAAAGAAGGATGGAAGTACAGCATTGGTTTTATTACAGAAGCCATTTTGAGAGAACATATCCCTGAGCCATCTCACACAACACTGGCTTTGGCTTGTGGACCACCTCCTATGATTCAATTTGCTGTTAATCCAAACTTGGAGAAGATGGGCTATGACATTAAGGATTCCTTATTGGTGTTCTAATTTTAAAAACAAAACAATATCTGCAGGAATAAATTTTTTGTTTCCCCCTATCAGTTGTACATATTGTATTTGGTTTATCACCCCCATGTACTACGTAGTGTTTGTAGTTCTTACATTTTTATTTTTTAGAATTTTTTTAAACCTTAGGATATAAAGGTTTTCTCTTCCAACAAAGTGATTCTTTAGGGAAGAAATGTACTGTACTGTACTAGTATGTCTAAGCCGAAAGGTTGTAATGTTTACCATGACAAATTGTATTCAATTCCTCATGGAATAGTAACATTGTGTTCATGTGTCTTCCTGTAAGCGATTCTTCAAAATATCAATGTATATATATAGTAATTGCAAACCATTGTTCCTTTTCCCGATGTAGTTAACTACTCTTTCTTTAGCTTCTAGTCTCTGGTGAATATTTTTTTTTCTATAACTCTTTAATTAATACGGCCTTAAATAAGAGAAAAGTTTAAACCACGAATATCATTATGCAGACGATATGGTAATTAATCTACTTTTTGAAAAAAAATCTATTTTCTTTATGTGGTCCTTGAAAATAATATTCTAGAACTTTTGTATATTCCCTTTTAACTTCTATTTAGTTTTGCTTTTGTCTTTTTTTCCGAACCAATTTTAATTGCTTATAAATCGATAGCATGATTACTCCTTCATAAACCAAGATAAAAGACTTGTGTACGACTAAGATAATCATGGAAAAATTGACTAGATTAAAATTAGCATTCATCTAAAAAGATAATCTGGTATATTAAAGTCATTACTTAAAATATCTAGTAGAACTTTAATTTTAATTTTAAAATATTAGTGTAGAAAATAAAACGAATTACACACTGCGATTCCTAAGAAACCAAAAGAGATAAATGCAGTTAAAATTCTCATTTCGTAAAGCGACGCTAGAATTTTTGCTAAGAGGAATCAAAATATAAAAAAATAAACTTACGAAGGAGGTTCAACATATATATATATATATATATATATAGTTATACTTCACAAGTTTCTTGGACAAGTAAAATCATATTTAGCATAGTCCTTCACCCTAACTTTTCAAAAGCACGGTGAGATTAATCAACAAATGGACAACAAAAGATGAACTTGATAATGAGCACTTTCTAATGCAAGTTTTTAAGTGGAATATAAAATCAGAATACCAGTGTTTACCCTTAGAATGAGTAACAATTAAATTTGTACGCGGTTTAAATGATACATGATTTTATTTAACACGAATGATCTAAGAATATCAAATAATTGAATTAAAAGAAATAAAACGATCAAACCAAATATAATGGGACAATTAAGCCTGGCTTTAAGTTAAACGCTGAAACTGATTCCGATCGAGCCCTCGAGACAGGCTCTGTTGCAGCTTAAAGAAAAGAGTAACTGAAGAACACTTTAAACAATATCTAGAAGAAAAAATAAACATTATTCCTTTGATATGCGTGCCAACGGTGGTTGAAAAATGAAAAGGCTCTCCGCTTTATATAGTAGGGGAGTTTCAATCCTAGTACAAATCTAAATAAGGTAAAAATCCTTCTCTTTTAGTAAATTATGATCCGCAGTTAATATCGGGCGAAATTCGTGCTGTAATATCCGGTTGACGGCAGATATTTTGGCCCCTCGTTCGTTCTCTCTAACCATCTTCCCTTTGGTCTCGATTCTTTGTTTTGCTTGAGCTCGATTCCTCTCATGTTTGGCCATGTATGAATCTTGATGCATCATTTGCTTCCCCCCGGTCTCTGAGTTGGGGAGAACTTGGTTTTAATCGAGACTGCATCAAACCACACAGTCTTCTCATTTCTTTTCCAGGAAATCGACGGTAACTTTAACCCCGATTTTACCCGTACACAGATAGTCCCCTCACTTTTCAAGAAGTATATTTATAATCGGGACCCCGAAATCATCTTCCTCATTCATTGAGTGTTCCTCCCGTTTCTCTGGCCTGGTCGGGGTTGGGATTTGTGATTTCTATTTGGTGCTTTTCTCTTCGACCAATTCCTAACCTTTTGATGTTGTGATTACGGGCACTGGGATTACTTCCTCGATAGCGAACATCTCCTTTGCTGCCGGTTGTTCTCCGTAGGCCGGTTTGACTTCGCCCGGGGTTGGAAACTTCAATGGCTAATGCAAGTTCGAAGGCACCGCTTTCATGTTATGGACCCATGGCCTCCCGAAAAAGGCATTGTATCTCATGTCCCCCTCGATTATATAAAATTTTGTTTCCTAGGTGGTTCAGGCCATGTTTACTGGTAGGATTATTTCACCCTTTGTTGTCTCGCATGCCATATTGAACTCGTTCAATACTCGTACTACTGGTAAATTTGGTCAAATAACCCCAGTTGTTCCACGACTCTCCATCTGATGATGTTGGCCGAGCTACCTGGATTAATTAACACACACTTAACTCGAGATTTATTAATAAGTACGGATATTACCAATGCATCATTGTGAGGTTGAATGATGCCCTCGACGTCCTCGTCGCTAAACGAGATGGATCTCTTCGAAACATAGTTTCGAGTGCATTTTTCCCTTATGATAGAAACTTTAGTGCGTTTTATCATTGGCCCTTGTGGGACATCTACTCCCCCGATGATATGTTTATCACATGTTGAGGTTTTTCCTGCCCCATTTGTTTGTTGGCGTCCTTGTTTTTTAAATGAATTTTGGCTCGCTCACTTAGGAATCCCCGAAGATGCCCATTGTTGAATAGATGAGCCATTTCTTCCCTTAGCTATCGAAAATCCCCGATCCTATGACCGTGAGTACACTAATATTTACAGATTAAGTTATGATCCTTTTGTGCAGGATCGGACTGGAGTGGCCTTGGTCATTTTGTCTTCTTGATGCAGCCGATGGCCGACACTATCCTCGTTGCATCCACATTGAAGTTATATTCCAATAGTCTCGGGGCTTCACTGCCCTCAGTGATCGGTCGAAACTGTTTTTACTCATCAAACCTCGGTTTCTAGGACCTTGGTCGTTTCTCCTATCGTTCCCGGTTGGGTGGCGACTGGTCCATTTCCCCTTCTGTCTGAGCTGTGTAGCTGGTGTCGATCTTGAGGTGGCCTCGGCTCTTAATCCACAATTCTTTTAGATATGTCGTTCACTCAATTGGGGTAAACATACCCTGAGGGAGCTCCCAACTGGCCGTTCTCGACTCTGATCTTTGACTGGTATAGGTTGTGAACATCGGCCCAAGTAACTGTCGGGTGCTCTACCAAGTTTTAGTTCAACTATTGAGAAGCAACGAAACTTTGGGGGTTGAGTCCTTGAGTAAACGCCCGAACGGCTCAATTATCTACAACCGAGGCCAGGTCCATCCGTTCCATCTGGAACCTCGACACGTACTCCCTAAGAATTTCGTTGTCTCTTTGCTTGACTTTGAAGAGGTCCGATTTCCTCGTCTCGGCCTTAATAGCGCTGGCATGGACTTTAACGAAGGCATTTGCAAGCATAGAAAATAAATCAATAAAATTTGGAGGTAAGTTATGGTACCATATCATCGCTCCTTTGGATAAGGTTTTCCCAAATTTCTTCAGCAATATCAACTCAATCTCGTCGTCTTCGAGGTCATTGCCTTTTATTGCGCACGTGTAGGAGGTTACATGCTCGTTTGGGTCTATGATCCAGTTATATTAGGGAATATCAGGCATTCGAAACCTCTTTGGCATTAGCTTCGGTGCTGCACTCGGGGAAAAAGGTTTTTGAATGAACTTTTTGGAATCCAGTCCTTTTAATATTGGAGGTGCTCCCGGTATCTGATCGACCCTTGAATTGTAAGTCTCCACCTTTTTGTCATTTGCCTCTATCTATTTTTCACCGTACTCCACTCATTTTGTTAGTGATTCGAGCATTTTTATCACCTTGGAAGTCTTTTCGGGTTCGAACCCATCTAGTTCTGTGACAATCTGTTCGTCTCTCCGAGCATCTTCTCCAACCTGCTCAGGTCCGACCGTGTTTTGTGCGTGATTTTGGCTCTGCAACTATGCTATTGCCACTTTCTAAGATTATAACATTTCAAAAATCAATCGTAAGCTAACCCCATCACCTCCCACTTGGGGCGCTTCTCGAGCCGATGGCCGAGGTGCCCCGCGAATGCTATTTTCTGGATCAGTTGGTAGGTTGATATTGATGGAAACATGTGAATTAGCACCGACTAGGTATAGGTCAATAAGGGGTACACCATTGCTTGGTACCACATTATTATTTTCACCGTGGTGGCCTGGCTCAGCGTCTACATTCAAGTGAGCTGACTGAGAATTCAATATTTTTGAATAGACCTGAAATCAAACTTCAAAAGGCAAGTGTAAAATAGGGTGTGTTATAGAGATTCGTTTTAAACCACCACTAGTAACCTTAGCCTGGGTGGACGCCAAAATGTTTACCCTTAAAATAAGTAACAATTGAATTTGTATGCGGTTTAAAGGATACGTAATTTATTTAACACGAATGATCTAAGAACAACAAATGATTGAATTAAAGAGAAATAAAACGATCAAACCAAACGTGATGGAACAATTAAGCCTGGCTTTAAGCTGATCGCTGAAACTAATTCTGATCGAGCCCTTGAGATGAGCTTGGTTGCAACTTAAAGAAAAGAATAACCGAAGAACACTTTGAACAATAGCTAGAAGACAAAAATGAATTTTATTATTTTGATATGCATGCGAATAGTGGTTGAAGAATGAAACAGGTTCTCCTCTTTATATAGTAGGGGAGTTTCAATCGTAGTACAAATCTAAATAAGGTAAAAATTCTTTTCTTCTAGTAAATTATGATTCGCAGTTGATATCGGGCGAGATTCGTGCCGTACTATCCGGTTGACAACGGATATTTTGGCCCCTCGTTCGTTCTCTCTAACCGTCTTCCCTTTGATCTCGATTCTTTATTTTGCTCGAGCTCGATTTCTCTCATGTTTGGTTATGTCTGAATTTTTGTGCGCCATTTGTCCCCCCGGTGTCTGATCTGGGGACACTTTAGCTTTACCCGAGACTGCGTCAAATCACATTGTCTTCTTCGAAAAATTAGGGGTAACTTTATCCCCGATTTTACCCGTACACAACAAGTACATAGAGATCTCAACTGATGGCTTCACGAAAGGGCAAATGCACACTGTATTCTTTTTTTCCTTTATGATTATCTTTTTCCCCCTTCACTAGGTTTTCACTAGTAAAAGTTTTTATGAGGTAACAGTCCATCGCATATTATACAAAAGAATTTTGTATTCAAAATTTTACTTTCACTTGAATCTTTTTTCTCATAGCGTTTTTCCGAGATCCATTTTTAAATGTATATAGATT